AACCCTAAACCCTAAACCCTAAAGCCTAAACCGTTTGGGGCTCCGGTTTGATTGCATGTCACTGCTGAAAGAGAATGCTGCTGCCCTTAACTGCGGGATGCATTTTCTGTGCACGACACTTCTCAAAGAATAATAGGGGATAATGGAAAAGAAAATGGAAACCCCTATGGTATAGGGTTGTATTGGGATTATATTGGGGGTTATGTTGGGAAGCTTGTTCTTCTGCGGGCGTGTAGATGGTTTGCTCGGGATGAGGGACTACGAAGGCAACCATGTTACTCACACGCCTGTGGGATTCGTTTCGTTGCCTGACATGGCACGTCATATCTTCGGGTATATCCAGACGTGAAAATTATGCGAGTGGCAACTGGCAAAGGCATCACCATCCTGAATGAGCCCTGAGACCTATCTGGGGGTTTCCCAAAATTATGGGTTTAGGGTTTAGGGTTTAGGGAGTCCCCACAATAAGGACTATAGTATTCTTGGGTTTATATTGGGGTTCCCCTATTTTGGGAAACTACCATCTGTATTGTTTCGACTACGCACTTGGTTCAAGGATTAGCATCCAGGAGCCATTCATATGTGGGGTCATAGGTGCATGAGGGTTTTGGATTTAACGTAGCAGGTTGCGGGTCTTATGGGTTTGAGGTTCTTCCATCCTCTTACCAATTGACGACCCCTCTGATGAAGTGTTGATATGGAGAGCTAATGTTGGACGCTTCTTCGGAGATTTCACGATGCCAACTTATCCCGCAGGGCGAGGAATATATGTATGTAAATATGTACATATATAGATACACACATACACATGCGAATTTAGGGATATGTGTGAAAGACTTGCATGGGTGTCTTGCAAAAGTACGACCTAATGGTGTCTATCCTGCACTGGGCTCTACTTACGAGGGCATCTGATGAAGTCCCCCCTGGCTATATAGCCTGAACCCTGAACCTCGGAGTCCGAGGTTCAAGCCAGAAACTTTCGAACCCTCAACCCTGAATACTTCAACACCAAATGCCTAACCCTTACGTACAGCCCCAAAATCTTTAATTGGGTTTCAGGTCTTAGGCTAGATGCTCACCAAACTCCACCCCCAGATTGCAAACCCTCAGCCCCAGAGCCCAGCGTAGTTTGCCCACCCCTTTACGCTTACGGCCGCATGGCGACGGCGGATTCGCTAGAAGCTCTGCGCGCGGAGATTGCCACGACAACGCAGCAGGTAGGGGCTAAGGGTTTGGGGTTTTAGGGTTTGGGATTTAGGTCTTCGTTCATTCGTCATTATCCACCAGCAGTTTCAGGAAGCCGGGGGGACCTTGTCGCGAGAAGCGGTCAAAAGCAACATTCAGGAAATTCCTATTGTTGATACTAAAAATCCTGCATGACTTTAATATACTATAGTACCAAAATTCCCAAGGTATAAGGTACCTAGGGTCATGCAGGATTTTTAGTATCCACCGTAGCACTCCCTCACTCAGGCCTAAATGATTACCAACATCATTTGAGGTAGCATATACCAGAACCATACATGGAACCCCTAACAACAACATTGCCAATAACCCCAAACCCTAAACTCTGTAAACCCTGAGCCCTTTCGGCTCTTCACTGCCAACCCTGCTGAGGTTCCCCTTTCATTGGCTTATTTATTGGGTAGGCCCCTAGGATATTTAACATTTTCCCTAGCTGCTTTAACAGGGGACCCTATATGTTAATACTTTTCAAAGGGTTTTAGGGGCCAACCCAGATTGAAATGACTCATCACTGTTTGAGGCCTTAAGTGAGGATGATGCCCGAACATTTGGCGAACATTTTCCCCGACAGTTCGTGTCTATTTGCTAGGTGCTGTTGCCATTATCATGGGATGTGGCTGCGATGGTATGCCTACATTTTTGCAATCATATGGTTTATCTCTCAAGCGTATCTTCAAAACCTTATCCTTTATGTTCATGCCCTAGATTGTACAATGTTGCCTACTAGTATGCATAGCAACGGCATGTAAAATTAGGTGGCTCTAAGACCCCAAGCACGATACTAATGTACCCTGCATCGGAAGTAATCAACTTACTTCCACATGGGCGAGCTGGGGTATCGGAGGAAACGATGTTTTGGATTATCGCGCCTTGCTGTAGGATGGTGTCAAATCAGAAGTCTTCCGCCTTTTTGGGTTAATATTGTTCCGAACATTTGCATACCCCAAACAGGCTCCTGCTCTGACAAAGCACCGCGTAGTTTCCATGGAAGAGGCTTAGTTCTTTGCGGAAAACGGATTGCGCATCATTTTCTATGCAAAAGGATTACGTATCAGGCTGAGAAGCAGTGGCCAGGGACTCCAGTCCTGTCTGTCGTTAATGACAAGCAAGGATTCACTAACTTAGTAGTTGTTAGTGGGGAATAAGGGAATATACTATTAGGGGAATATATAGGGATTGTATTCCCTTATCCCTACTGGCCACCAGTATGCTAATCCAGGCTTTGAAGGGCAACAGGACCATGACTGGGGTTTGCGAACTCGTTGAGACCAAGTGCTCGGCTTTGCCTGAGGTCACCGAAGTCATACAGTGATCATACAGTGATGTGTATGCTTGGCATTCATATTGTTAGTTGTCTTTCAGGATTTCGCTGTACATACCTTCCTAAACCTTAAACCCTGAACTTTCAAGCCCACAGAAACTTACCATTACATAGGGCCCCCAAATTTCCTGAATTTAAAAACTTCAAAACCCAAATGACACCCCCCCAAACCCTAAGTAATGGTAATACACCCTTTGCTGTGAAGGTGGAGCCTGTCTTTTTCCGGCGCTGATACTTTGCGGGCAGCCAGCCCAAAAAGTCCAACTGTCCAAGAGCCAAACTTACTGGTTCTGAGCAGGGCATAAGGGAACACATTATCTTTATGTAAGGGATTATGGAGGTAAATTCCCATTTTCCCTACTAACAACCAGTAAGCAAAGCCAGGGCCAAGTAGTTCGACGTCGAGTGAAACTCGAGCCTTGCTTTGAGGACCAGTCTGACTTAAAGGGACCTTACTGGGAACCCCAAATAGGGAACCCCAAGAATATAGCAGGAATATAATAGGAATGTACCTACCAGGGTCCTTATATTCCATTATATTCCTGTTATATTCTTGGGGTTCCCNNTTCCCAGTAGAGTCCCTTTAGAGAGTCTCTTCATAGACCCTCCGCATCCCCTCTCATCAGGCGCCATGTATCCCTTTAGGATTTGGTGTCTAGGGTTTAAGGTTTAGGGTTTAGGGCTTGGGTGCTAGGAGGGTTCTGATTTGTCCATGAGTGATGGTGGTTCCACTCTTGAAAATTGTTCTTGTCCCTCGTTCATTGCATTATGGAAGCAAGGGAACGCTGTAGGTACTTGATCATCCTGATTGCAGAGCTGAGTAATGCTTTAGAGAAGTCCTTGCAACTTGACATCTCACCCCGCTTTGCACACTTCTGGCTTGCGATGCACGTGCCATGACGGTGAAGCGCTTAGTGAAATGACTAGGCAGTTTGGATGTCTGAGCATTCAACCTTCAAGGCGCTTCATTATTCATCCCTGAGGTGTCCCAAATCTTGTGCATGCAGCCTGCAGCCTCCAAAGAAAGAGGCATCCCACCAAGAGCGTAAAAGAACAGCAGCCGGGAGAGGAGTGCTCCACTTGCATAGACCCTCATGTTGTTTATTCTATGCTGCTCCCAAGAAGACATTGGGACAGAGGGATGATGCAGAGCCACGGGACACCTACTAACGGTGCATGGTGTCGAGACACGTGCAGCCGAGAGTAGGGGTCTTCCTCAGGTATTTTTAGTCAACAATGAGGTACGGTCGCTTGTGAGCTTCTTTGGTTTGCGTTTGCGTCTGGCGTCTGAAACGTGAAGTTTTACGTGTGTTTGTGCGTGGGCTCGTGGCTTTTGGCTCATGGTTCCTCAGCTGCTGAGAACCTCGGAAAACCCTGCCGATGCTTGGTTCATCATTAGTCAGTCTCTGATTCTCGTTTTCATTCTGGGCTGTGCGGCTGTAGATTACTTTCATTTAGCAAGTGGAGCATGCTGGAGATGTTGCAAGTTTGCTTGGATCCGCCAATGAGAGGTAAAATGCTTGAATGTGAAAGCAAGAGTCTGACTGCACAGCTCTGCATGACTGTCAGAACAGTGTGTGAGTCAGGGTCATTGTTGTTCTGTCATACAGCCACAGCGCGAACAATTCCCAAAGCCGAGCGACATCTCGGTATCAACTACAGAACCTCCTGGCGCACCGAGGTATGGTTTCTCAGCCTATAGCCATGTACCGTATCCTTTTGACGGCTGCGGCCGTGCTTTTGAGCATCAGCATCTGGGACGCCGGGGTAAGAGTTTTTGTTTTCGAGGATTGTAATCGTGGCACACAACGCATGATGCCAGTCATCCTGCTCCTCAATCCACCGAGGCAATGCAGAGCTCCTAGAAACTGAAGAGACAAGATGTGACGAAGCTGTTTGCGCTGGAAGCGACAGAAGTGCGCTTGAGGCCCCAGGGGAAACTGACATGTGCACCTTTTGGATGCCTTTGCTCCCCGAACCCTCTTGAACATGTGATTTGGTAGGTTGTCAAAATTGTGGTCTTTTCAGGGGTTGTTTAGGGTGCCCAAGAGGACCCCCAGAAAGGTACCCTTAATTTTGGGACCCCCAAATGCCTACCTAGCACTTAGCGAGGAACTGTGGAACGGTTTGCCCGAGGAGTAAGGTTTATTCCGCTACATAGGCTACAGTCGTCAATCCGTTCTCTTCGAATTGATTCAGCTTTTCCCGGCGGAAGTACAAGCAGAGTGAGTCCATTTAGGGGATCCTCTTCTGCAAGGATCCTGCATTTTGGGAAACCTTTCCGAGGCCAACAAGCCACCTCAATTTGAAGCTGATCCTACTGAATTCGAAGCCCAACAAGAGCAGTATTCTTGAAAGATGCATGATACCTATCGCTTGTTCTGCTCCAGGAGCGGCCTAGATAAAAAGGCCATACTTTCGCTCTGAAGCCTTCATGCGCTTGGCTCCGGCACCCTAAGCGGCCTACACGCTATAAACAGGCTTGGCAAGTTATAAGCCTCAGTATCTAGAGCAATGTGCCTTGTTCATCCACACAGAGATTGTTCCGTGGGATTTCCCTTCTCAAAATTACCCCTGTTTTGTCCTAAACCCTAAACCCTAAACCCTAATTGTAATCCCTGTCCTCTCCGTGAGAGACCCCGCTGCGTTGTCACCGCATGAGCTCTACACCCAAAATAGGAGCTTCCATTTCTTTTCCATCATGCTTATATGATCCCTATATAATCTCCAAACCCTAAACTGTAGCTTCCATTTCTTTCCCATTAGCCTTATATAATCCCAACATAATCTCTAGCTAACCCCATGCCCCGGAAACAGGAGGTACAAGCTCTCCGGACAGAGCTGTTACAGACGGCGGTGCAGCTCCAGCGAAGTAACCGAGCTTGAGATTGAGGTCTATGAAGATTTACATAGCTTTAGGTTTAGGCTTTTAAGGGTTTACGTTTCAAAAGGTTTCGGGTTTAAAGGGTTTAGGGTGAGAAGCCTGGTTGCTCCCAACCCTCCCCACACTCTTCCCTGACAGCTTTCTACACCAACTTGGCGGGGGATACCGGAACCGGGTATGCTTGTTTTCCTGTTGCATCCTGTTGTGCACAGGGAGACACAAGACCAACCTAATCAGCATGGTGGTCCCTTCTGAGCATTTTTTGTTTGAGGTGAACAGCTCCTGTCCCATCTTGATGGGATATATGGGATACCGATCCACAGCACAAATTAAAGCCATAGAAGTCCCTAAGGTAAAGGAGGCGACCACCCCAACGACATGTTGCACGACCTTCAGATTGAGACGTTCCAGGACAGATGCTCATGCCTTCATGACAGCTCCAGACACTGCTTTGCGCAACACTGCTGTTTTTTTTGCTCGTTCGGAAGGGGTGGGGCACCTGTACAGGCTGACTCTTGTGACTTTTCCTTGCATATGATCAGACTGTCAGTGTCAGGCTATTCTAAGTCGTGTGGAAGAAACATTTTCATATTGTTTAATGAGGATGTGCTGGTGCTTCTGTTACAAAACTTCCATACATATATGAGCGAACTTCTAAACTGACGTTATGGCAAGCAAATCAAAGTTGAACACAGAATGCAAAAAAGGCTGTAAAGGGATGGGGAATCCTGAAAAGCGACATCCGGCAATCCAATAGTCATAACAGTGCACTTTCAACTTAGCTGACATGTAAAGCGACACCTTAATTTCTATATGGTAGTTTCCCAAAATAAGGAGACCCCAATATAGACCCCCAAATACTATCATCCTTATTATGGGGGCCCCCAAAAAGGTACCCCTTATTTGTAGGAATTAGAAAACCCCCATATTGTCATCAGAGTTTCGTAACCTATGTGGGGATCTGCTATGCAGGCCGAGTCGATGCACCGGGAGGCCCTGAGGAGGCAGACGGATGCAATGGCGGCCGAGACAAACACGGCCGAGGTGTCCTTTTAGTTGGTAGGGCTTTTCAGGGTTTAGGGGTTAGGGTTCAGGAATTGGGGTCTAGGGATTAGGGCTTGGGAATTGGGGTTTAGGGATTAGGGTTTAGGAAGCTTTAAGGTTCAGGGCTACTGTGCATCAATCTAAAGGGCTATACACGGGTCATATCGATCTGCAGAAATGAAAACAGATATAACTAAGCGTAATACCCATATAGTCACACGCGTTTGATCACTTTGGTTACCAAGCGGTGAGCATCGGCTTGAACATCTTCCATGCTCACATCCTACCCGTAGAAGATATGTTGATCGTAGCTAAGATAGACGCGTGCATCTTACATACACAGACGCCCGAGGGGGTAGGGGATTTGGGCAGAGGAGTAGCGGGCCATGCATGTGGATTTGTAGTTGGGGGCTCTCTTGGGAGCCTTGAGGATCATCTGGGAATCGCTGACGGTTTTTGTAGGGGACGAAAGAAACCCATACTTTGAGAAACAGCTCTACAGGAGGGGGGGCGGGCATCGGCCTTTGCTCAGCACTTTCAAGTAGATCACTTCTGACATCTTCTGGCTGCATTTTTTTCGGATTGTTCTCGCTAGAAGCCAGCATCTGAGAGGTCACGTTTACTGGTAATGGCAGACGGGTCAATGCTTGGGCTTCGAAGGTTGCCTCCTGCTGTCGCTGACCCTTGTCAACAAAGCCCACATGATTCCAACCCCTGGGTTCCCGAACTTCACGCTCCTATCCACCACACACAGCAGGCCCCACTGCGCTTGTCTGCATGCATGCTGCATGCTGCGGAGGCCCTGAAGGCCATGCACCACGAGACCTCCACGGGGCCGCCTCAGGCAGCTGCCGCAGCTGTTGCAGACATGTTGGGAAGTTAGTGCGACTTGGGTTCTTGCACTGCTGCAGTCAGTAATGCTGGCGTTGCTTCCCGTGTGCAGGAGCTTCGCGAACCTAGCAAGCCAAAACCGGCGACGCCTGCCGTGAATGCGGGGACTAAGCCCCACAGCACTCAGATTTTATGGGGGCAGCATTCGGTAGCACGTCTTTTTACAGATTGGGTGCTGACAGAGGAGCTCTGCAATCTGTCTAGGATGTCCGGTCGAAGGCACCCCAGAAGTGTGATCAACCAAGGAAGCACCATCATCATCATCACGGCGGAGCTCAGAACAAGCTTCTTGAGGCAGCGGAAGTAGCTTCAATGGATCAGGGCCGGCTGCAAGAGGGGAGATGTGGGACTGGCTTCACCATCTTGACGCAAGCATTTGCCCCTTCTGGTATGTAGCAGCTGGATTGCATAGTTTCTGCTTTGGCTGTTGCCGCGTTTTTCTGTAACATTGTTGACCATGCTGATGCATTCGCAGAGTTTTCCCCATGTTGCGTTCCCACTCTTGGCATGGGCATGGGGCGGTGTTTTTCAAGGCTCCCTGTGAGACACTGTAAAAGTACTTAGCTGTTGAGGCAGGGCGGGTTTGATCTTGGGCCTGGAGGTTGCAGTATATCTGGAAACATGAAATGTGTCTTATGACCCCTTACACACTCCTCATTATGAAGTTCCAATATAATTGGTGGAAAAGATAAGATTTGCTACAGGAGGCCATGATCCCTGCGGGCGCCCTCGTAGCAGGCGGGCTGCGCTGAAGGATGGGGCTCCGGGAAGTGGATTTTCTTAATAGCCAGAAGAGCTGTGGTTCTAGTGTTCCACAGTAGTAATGGGGCACTTTGGAGAAAGGATCTACATTTTGGGGGTAGCGTCAGCAAGATGGCATTCAGAGGAACCTACATTCTGAAGGCTGTCTGGAACAGTATAGCAATCTAGGACTTTCAAATGATATCAGGGTATGCCAGGGCAGTTATCAAGAGCGCTGCCCCGTTTGAGGCTCCTGTTGCAGTGCCTTTGACTCTGCTCAGCCCAGCGCCAATGTCCAAACGACCTAAACCCTAAACCCAGGCTAGATAACAAGATCCCAAAGCAAAACGGAAGCCCAGGATTCCAATCATGTGACATACCTGTCATGCAAGCGATTACACATGTCGGTGAGGGGCCTGAACTGGAGCTGTAAAGAGCCAACTCCAACGAAAAGTTCAAGAACAATCCAACATCATCTCCTAACATTGCTGTAAGCAGAACCTCGCCAGCCCATCCTTGGCTAGGCGTGCTGCTGCTGTGGTGCCAGCTGACAACTGCTGGGATATTGGCAATCTACTTCGGAGCACAGGACGCTAGACACAAGGTTCTCAGGGAACGAAGGAACGAAATAAGAGCGCCCTAGTGCGATTTGGACTAGACCAGACCAGACGTGTCAATCGCGAGGTTTGATTCCGAGCATGCGTTTTATGACTTGGTTTTTGATGGAAAGGTAGTGGGTTTGTCAAGTAGCTTCCGGGTACAGCGTGCGGTGTGTGGGCACATGCATTCTCCAGAAATTCCTGCATAGGTAGAGCGCACCTGTGGACACATTCCACCTCACCACTCAACCAGTCTTGCCAGCGCAACTCTCGAACATATCATTCCGATCTTCTTATCGTCATCTGAGAGGCACAGTAAGAAGTCTTTTTGTTGCTTCATGGCCTGCTGGGTCACAGGCTTGCATTCTTCATGACTGAGCGAGTTGTTTGATTGAGTGAGTGGATGTTGATTGTTGTCAGATTGAGCTGGTGTGGGTTCTAGGGCTCCCTCAAAGAGGTTACAGGGAGATATGGTACTTTCCCAGAATTCCGGACCCCAATATAGACAACAAAATACTATTATAAATTATCCTTGTTTGGGAGCCCCAAAAAGATATTCCCCAAATTTTGGGAAGCCCCCATATAGGTAATCTAGGTGTAGGGCCGAAACCCTAAACCCCAAAACCCTGAACCCTGAACCCTCTGAGGCCGGTTTCACCCTCTACATGAAGGCCGGGCGGGCAGGGCTCCTCTGGAGATGAGTTGGTACTTAGATGTTGGGTGCTGCCCCCAGTCTGTAACAGGTTATAATATGTAGAATGCAGTTGTATATATATATATAAAGCCCTTAACATGACCCCTACTATAGACTGTCACGGGGTGGGGGCAGTACCCAAGTTAGATACCTCCGGACAGTTCCTGTCTTTGGCGTCACAAAAGTTCTTCCAGCTCTAGGGAGTACAGGATCATGTTTGGGAGGGATTCCGAAAAAGCAGCGGAAATTGAGGGGCCTGCTTGTTATACCTTTCGTTGCCTTTCATTTAGAAGCTCAAACGTCTGTCATTTTGAAGCATGCATGTGGGCTCCAAAGGTTTTTAACCTGTTAGCAGGATGTTGCGGAGTACCGGAGGCCTTTGCCATTTTGAATCTGGGAGTTTAAGATGCATGTCAGTTCCGGGGAGGCCTTGAGACAGATGTGTCAGGAGTCTACTCGGAAGAGGGCACTTTGCCTCCTGCATAAGTCAAGCCTATCCTGAGATGTTGCAGTGAGCAAGACTTTAGTAGCGGCGCAGCATTGAAGATCCTGATGCAATCTGACCCAGCTGTCCGCGCCATCTGCGCTGCATGGTCTCATCAGGATGGCCGCGTAATCCTTCTTTGTGTGTATATCCTGGCGTGGCACCGGGTGGCTCTTGGCGCAATGTTGCGTTTGCACGGACCATTTCCGAAGAATCACGGCTTCGCAAGGCTTTAGCATCTGTACTGCGGGGCAATGCTCACCAAAAAGCTTGAGGTACGCAAAGGGTCGTTTCGTATGCCGACGATATCCTACAGTTCCTTGCCACCCCAGACCCTCTTGAAAGTATTTTAGATCCCGCATTAGTGGAACAAACTTCCTTGTCATCCTCCCAAAGAGAAATTCTATCTACCCAGCCGAAACATCAACCTTCAGGTCGTCGACCCTCTAAAGCCCAAAACCCGCAGACCCAGAGAAACCATTTAACCCCCCAAAACCACAACGCAAAGCCTAAATAGTAGTTTCCATTTTCTTGTCTAATATAGCCCTCATATCCCCCCTATATTATTATACTATTACCCCTAGATTACTATTAGGGCTTATGGACCTCTGAAGCTGGATAGCATTCCACTCTTCAGGTCGTCCTGTCCAACTCCGTCATCTCGAAGGAGCTAGGCCACTTGGGCTCTGCATTACGGCAGTCAGCATCCCAGCATAGGAACATTGTAGGGATGAGGAGGGGGTTGGTTGGGGAAGATGTAGGCATGATATAGGAATATTGTGGTGCTTCAACGCGAGCCTTTTTCAAATTGAGGGTCTCTTTGCTAGCGTTCGAAAAACTATAGCTCTCAGACTTCGACACTCCAAAAAGGGAAAAGGGTACCGGTAGTGTGAGGTCCACTCAGATAAGAAGCCTGATGCACAGAAGCTTTTTGCGTTCCGTTGGCTCCTGCATTTGACTACAACATCCCCATGTAGTAGCAGTAAGCAGAGCGCCCTCCAAAACCACTTCTCATGAGTCCCAGTCTACACACAGCAGGATCTTTGAGAGGAAGCCGTTGTGAAAAGGGACGCTCGTAGACTAGTCGGGTTATATCACATTATACTGGACGACGACAGGGGCTTTTATTAGGAAGTGGCACAAGCCTTGCTTCTTCGGAGTACTTCCGCCAAGTGGTGTCTAGGAAGTCATTGCAAGCTCACTTCAGGCGCACCTGCCTTCTAGATCTTTCGGAGAAGCTTGTGGATTCTTGCAAGACTGCTATCCCAGAAGCAGCGTGCCTAATAATACACCGCGCAACAGCTGACAAGACACAAGATTCCCAAAGTAGGGATAGCTTTGAGGAATTCTATAAACATTCTACGTATACATAGAGCGAGCATGGAGCGCTGATGCCGTCCATAGCATGGTTCCTACGTAAGGTTGCTTGGCCCATGGCAATTCTCAGGCATCAATGGCGTTCCTGCGGGCTTCCTGGTGACAGCAGTGCAGCAGGTTGTGGCATTCTTCGTGCGGAGGGCTCAGATTCATTACAAAAGTGTTGTAATCCAGATCAGCAGCGTCCTTAAGCATTTAAAAGAATTGGGGTAAGAGGCCCCGGAAAAGTTGCACCGCTGCCGCCGGAACTGCCATCATCAACACCACCAATAGCAGCACCAGCACTAGCAAGAGGAGAATGCCGACGCCGACGACGAGGATTACTTGTTCTGATTAGTGGTCGTGGCGCCACTACTAGCACTGAACTTCAAAGAGGAACACGCGAATATCAAGCGCACATAGGAATTGCAACCAAGATATAAGAAGCAAAGGTTTTCTTGCGTACACGTTTAATACCAGAGTGAGTCACCGGCCATGTTGAAGCTGGGCTGCCGTTGGCCCAAGCCCTTAAGGGTTTAAATTCGTAGCCTGACTGTCTAATCTTCTCAGTGGTTCTAGGGTCCCTGAATCATAGGCGTCCACATCTTTCAAAGTTTAAAGTTTGTACGTGGCTCTGTGGCTCAGAGACAGTGGGGTGAAATAGTAACAGTAATCGTAACGTTGCCAAGGATGAATCTCATGCCAGATTGCCATGAGTACAGTTGCTGCAACTTGCTGCAGGGCGTGTAGGTAAATACGTTTTATCATGCATGCGGCTATTGCGTGAGAATATGCCTGGTTTGGCAGGCTCTCTGGTATTGTTGCATACAGGGTCACCTTGAGTAAGTAAGAACGTCCTGCAACCTGAATGCTTAGAAGCCCACCTTCTCAGTCTCAGCTGCTGAAGAAGTGCAAGTTGTTTCTTCAGTAAAAGTATGTCAAGGATTGTTAGGACGGACCCCTAATCCCATTAGCTAACATAACCTTTATATAGGCCTTATATACCCCCTATATAATTTAGACCCTAAACCCTAAACCCTAAGCCCTAAACCCTAAACCTTAACATAACAAGGTAGCCCCTAGAGTATCTGGGCAACCTTGTTGACAGGCTGGCCATCATCGTTGCAGTAATGTGCCTGGGTTGTCAATGGACATGATGCGCTTGCAGCGGAAGAGGCGTCAGAGGTGTTGGACTTTCAACCTTTATGGGGGATTCCCAAAATTAGGGGTACCTTTTTGGGGGTCCCCATAATAAGGATTATAGTTTTTTAGGGTCTATATGGGGTCCCCCTATTTTGGGAAGTTACCATATATTTTTTAGGGAAAGACGATCTCCAACTCCGGCCAAGGTACTGCACACCCTACAGATATACGCCCCGGCGGCTCAAGAGCTGGTCAGAGGCAAGGCATCAGAGATGAGATTGCCGATATCCGTAAGATGACAATGAAGTTCATGATGGTGGTGTGGATGATGGACTTGCTGTTATTTGTTCTGATAAGAGATTTGTATAACACGCGAACTTGAGGCATGTTCCGTGCTCCATGCCCAGACAAATCTAGTACCATGGCGGCGTGGTGATGAATCTTTCTTTCCAGCATACCGTCTTGCAATGTCAGCCGGCTGATGACACTGATGAAGCCTTTGCTTTATTGTCACCGTCTTTCATCCTTGTCCTGCTTTCGTAGTCTTTTTCGTATCGTGAGTTATGAGTGTTGCCATCATCTGTGCCCATGCAACTGCCCGACCTCAGGCTACACTTGTTCAAACATTCCAATCATGCTGAAATCGCGTATGTTCACATCATCAGGATTGTCCTTTCTTGATACGGTCCCTTTGACTCTGCATGTGAAGCCCAGCTTGGGCAACCTCTAGCTGTTCTAATGGATTGTAAGCCTGTAGTTCAATTTCCGCAGTGGTTCAGATCAAGCATGCCGCGGTCTTCATGTATTGTGCTTTGCAGCGGTGACTGTTAGCTGCTTGCTGCCTTGAGCAGTTTCATGGCCAATTGCCTTGTGCTGCATGCTCTTTGCCTATCAGTGGCGGCTGCGCAACAAGGGCGGCCTCGAGTTCCTCCAGAATGGAGTTGCCGAGGCCCCGCAGGGGCGGCCATGCAAAAGCTTCGGGGGAAAGTTGGCCACATGATCACTTCGCCTGCCCTTCCAGTGGCAATTGTTGATGGCGACGAGCTGTCCTTGCTTTACCGGGCGTTTATGGATCAGGACTCATGCTGGGCTGCCCGCTGGACCATGGAACTTCTGACCGTGGAGCTATACTTGGAAAGACTGTCAGTGGTAAAGGGAGGTGACTGGATGGGAGTGCTTGGAGTTCATGGAGATGTCCACTATCCGTTCAGCATTTTCTTTAGAAAGGCTCCGAGCTTCTTCGAGACACTACTGTGGGGCGACGGACCAGCATGGTCTTCCATTGCAGCTGGGGGCTGGAGCACGTTCGCTTTGATCGGGAGGTTTATACGCGCGCTTCGGGCATACATTACTGCTCTCGGCACACTGCCGCGTGAAGCTGTGCAAGCCATCTTGCCACTGCTGCCAGCAGAGAGACAGGCGATTCTATCTGAAGTTCCTGAGCTGCTTTCTACTGCTGCTGGCCCCCTTAATGAGGCCAATTTGTCGTCACCGTGGCCTTACCGTGCTATGGCAGCTGCAGCAGCTGAGGATCTGTTGCGAAACTGGACTCGCAGGGCTCTGGATGTAGGTCTGAGCCAGTGGTCGGCAGTGGCTTGGCTTCTCATCAACACCGACGCCTGGAAATTCTGGCACTTGCTCGACAGAGTGCTGCTGCCAGACGGAGTTCGTCTTTGCCTCCCGAAAGTGGTGGTCCCACATTCCCCATCCACGTTGCATGTTGAACCTTCTAGTCCGTGCGCGGCAGCCCACTGCACCCGCTTCTGGGGCATGGGGGCTGCCATGCAGGCAGCCAGCACGGGAGTTGCAAATAATGGTAGTGCTACAGCGGTGTTCCGCTTGGAGCTGCAGCACAACCTCCTCAACAACAAGCTGCGGAACTCTTGCAGCCTCAAATGTCCTCCCCGCTTGGTCACGCTGTTGCAGACCGTGTCTGGAGTTCTCAAAGACTTCCGTAGGCCACTGACCTTCGTTGATGTCGGGGCAGCGTTGGGCGACTGCATGGTTGTAGCTGCCTTTTTGCTGCCAGCCGGCCGTCTGCGTGGTATCGCGTTTGAGGCGCATCCTGGACTCGCAGCTCGTGCAAGAGACACTTTTCTCATCAACGGAATGGCATCTGCCTTGCCGAATACAACGCAGGTGATGATCAAGAGGATTGCCTTGGGTGCTGGATCCTTTCATCTGAACGGCAGCGAGACAGATGCAGGCTTCAATCCAATCTATGGCATCACGGAGCGCCGCATGGTAGTGAAAGGCTCCAACCTGGACGCAGAGCTTGAAAGGATAAGGCATGTGAAATCGGTGGATTTGCTGCATGTTTTTACTAATGTGGGCGAGGCCGCGGTCCTCAGGGGTGCACGGAAACTGTTGCAGGCACAGCGCGTGGGGTGCGTGTTGTTGGTGGCAACTCAAGACAGAAGGGAGAGGCGTCCGTTGTATCGCATTCTCCGCATGAGCGGCTATCATGTGGCTAGCATGGACAACCCACAGTATCACGTGGCGAGTCCCATACCTGCCCTTGAGCGTTCAGGTGGAACCCCATGTGATGCCCGATTCTTTCGGTGGTGGCTGCGCAGAGACAGAGAAAGGTTTCTTGCACTTGCACCCAGTGCTTGGTTCACCCAACCCACAGGCCAGTCCTCCCTCTTCTCCTCCTAGAAAAAACCCTGACTAGCGCGATGCCGAATGGTCCAGAAGTATCTTCCAAGCATGCTACACTCCTAGATATCTGTACCTGAGAAACTTGAGACGGCTGTCTCGAGCATCTACGTTTTCACAGCCAGGTAGCCTGTGTGATCCTGTTTTCCTTCGCGTTCTCATTGAACATCGGCCTCAACAACTTCAGTTTGTCCTTGCTCGCCGTCTCGCTGAACATGATTATTCGGCAGCCCGGCTGGCATCGCAGACCGACCTGAGAAGCGACCCACGAACCACTCTGATGTAGACCGCTGGACAAGCCTGGGCACCAGCTGCATAGATTCACTATCGTGCTATGAAGCGAACGTAGCTCCTAACCCCCGAATGAGGGCATGAGCAGTCTTCTGTCTTCTGTCCATCGCCCGCACGAACTGAACTCAATGTGGCCAATGTTGAACTTCGGCGTAAAAAAGACCAACGTCGTCATAGCATGCATGAGTCATTTTCCACAATATCAGCTTTCTGCCATAATATATTTCACTGCACCAGTTTTGAAGACTTCACACTACGCAAGGTGCGCCGACAACTGGCAGTGAGATTCCTGCAAGCTCCCCCAACAAACCAAGGCATTTCGGTCAGGCGGTAGTCTTGGACCTGCTGGGTCAGAGGGCCGAGGATGAGCCATAGAATGAGGCGGCACATAATTCATAAGAACCTTAGAATACTATATTAGATCTTCATACTTTGGACAGCCACCACCTGGCATGGAAGTAGCCGTAGCAGCAGCGGGAAGAGGAGCCTCAGCAGGAGCTGCAGCGACGCAGCGCCCAACAGCGCCGCTGGATTTCAGTAGGAACACGTGACAGACACATTCTGCAGCATGCCTGATACTGTTGATGTGTGAAATCTTGTACCACTTAGGGGCCCTAAATTACTGTCATTCCTATCGGACGTAAGGTGGTGCAAGATTGCCTCCATCAGCTGTGGCTCAGTAGCTAAGGTCTTGCTTGCCCATCGTCACCTTAGCTTTCCAGCAGCTCTTAGGGCCTTGCCCCTCGGCCAGATCTTGGATTTACTGGCCTTTGGTTAGCTAGGAATTGAGGAAGGCATAATTATAGTAGTCCCCATATGGGTGGTTGTCAAAATTATGGTCCCTTTCTGGGTAATTACCCTACATATTAGGTGCCGTATTATAATGGGGATCCAAAAAGGGCTTAATTTTGACAACCACCCATATAACCTGTTATAGTAGTGTCGATTTTCTTTTCCATTCCTTCATTCCCAGCTAACCAAAGGCCAGTTTAGGGTAGGGTCCTGTGGTGCTTTGATGCGCAGAATTAACCCTAAACCCTAAATTGCTTGGCTGTTGCCTTTCTCTTTTCAGTGCCCAGTAACCACCCTAATATCAAACACACCCTTTAATCTCATAGATTTTCCCAACATACCATAAGATACCACAACGGGGAGTATTTAACATTAGGGGGGTGTGGGGGGGTTTTCATACGAGGGGGAGGGGATGAACCACGAATGTCCCAAGACCTGAACTCATCGATCCTTGCAGCCAAGGTATCCCCGAGCTAGCCTCGAAGGTGAGGATGGTAGAAGTTCTTTTGATGGTGGCAGGCAGGGAGGGGCAGCTTAAAGATAGTGAAATGTGATCTTTATATAGCAGTTTTCATTTCATGTTCCGTGCTCTTTCCAATTTGAGTCTCCATTATTGGGGTATATATGACCCCCCCTTTAAGAAGTTACGTTTCCTCGAAAGCTTGGGAGATTTGCCACAGAATCCTGGAGCTTTCCGTCGAATACCCTGTTAACTGGCGGCAACGGTTGCGTGGGCCAGGTGTGGTCTTTGCGGCCGTGGCGACTCTAGCGAAGAGCGAAGGCTCCTTTTCGTGATGGGTATCATGGAAAAGGAGATGGAAACTACTATAACGGGTTATATAGGGTATAGAATATGGGGTACGATCCCATCAGAGTATATCTCGTGATGGAGCAGGAGTGGCAGGTGTACTTGTACATCTTTAGGGCTGATCTGTGGCAAACAGTCAATGACCTGATCAGGCAATAGAAGCTGCTGCAAATGCAGAAAGCAGACGTTTGATGGCGTTGCGAGGCTCTCATCATGGCGGCAGCGAGTCCAAGAACCTGCTCCTCGGGGTTTTTGTTTGCACCCTGCCCCTGGGCAGCGTCTTTGTTGACAGCGGAGCTTAAAGCTTCGACGGGTTGACCCACTTCAAGTACACTTCCGAGGTCTGACGCAGCCTGCGCCATCAACCTTATCTTGGGCAACATGTTCGGGAGCTCCCTGGACCCGCCGCTGAATCCTGCCGCGGCCTAAGACTACAGTAACACAAAGTTCATAAAAGGAAGACGCTCACAAGTCTGCAGTGCCACAAGTCCACATAACTCTGCGTACATGCCCTATCACTGGAAACAGATTGCCACAGGTAGACACGATTTTCTACATGGCGCTGCCGTGTGCTCTCTTCTTGATGCCGGCGTCGCTCTATCTCCTGTTGCTTGACGAGGATGGTAACAGCAATCGTTAGCAAACAACGCAGAACGGCATCACACGCATTTCTGCGCCTTTGCTGCGTCCGCTGTCTCATCGTTACAGTACGTGGAAGAATCTTGTCCAGCCCAGTGTGTGAACCCGAAGCTAGGTTGCCCCACAAGCGTTCTGACTGCTGTGTCTCCGCAACAGTATCTCAACACAAGCACTTTCCAAAGCTTGGACTTGCTTCCGCAGCGCAACACAGTCCTGACTAGTTCATCAGGGCCAGGGTACTGGAATCACTAGCTGGACCCCAAATAAAATAATAGCCCAAACCTCTGTAAAATGGCCGACAAGCCCATTATTCTACCTACCTTCAGGGTTCAAATAGCACCCTTAGAATAGCCTAAAAGGCCATGTTCTACCTACTTTCAGGGTTCAGGTACTGGTCTTTTCATGGACTCCACCCAGGCATCCCGTGGAGTGGCCTAGTTTCGGCGACATCACTGACTTGCAGGCGCCGCGATTTCAGGGTGCAGAGTTTAGGGTTTAGGGTTGAGCGTTTAAGGTAGGATTGGATCTGAATTCTTGGCTTCAAGTTGGGGGCTGGGGTGGCGGGGTGGGTGGGTGGCAGGGATGAATTTTGGTCAAGAACCCAAAATCACTGGTGATGGTTTGTCCCTGTCTGCAATTTGGGAGAGTGCCTTGGCCTCCAAAGTCTCAGGAAATCCTATAGCAACGTAGACCCATGATGGATAACCCCCCTCCTTTTAAGGGCCGTAATATGAGGATCCCTATTATCATCCCTATTAAGGGGAGGGGGTTAATCAGGGGTCTACATTACCCTAAACCTTAAACCCTGAACCCTAAACCCTTGGCCCTAAACCCTCAGGTCTTTCAGAAGGTGATGGAGCTCAGCCCATCCACGATGCTCTGGGTGCTCCTCTCCGGATGCATCGCTGCAGGCCCTGTTTGAAGCAGTCTCGGAGCAGTCTCGCAGATAGACAGGGGTATAGGGTTTAGGGTTAAGAGCAGAAAGCAACGCAAGTTCTCAGACAAGCAAAAACATAGGAACTTAAAGTTTGCATCCCAGGGCTTTGGGTTTTTGAGGCCGCAGCAGCGATTAAATGTATGAGCAACATGAAGACGGCTCTATACAAACTGAAGCGTTTCAGTTGAGTGATCACCGGATTTTGGCACTTTGTCAACAGCTCGATTGTCAGAGTCCCTGGAATGTATTGGTCCGGCTGGTGTCAAGTGGGGAGCTTGCAAACGTCAATGCGATGTTCTTTCTTTCCCAGGCTAGCTTTTGATAATTTGGGGCTCTTCCTCTAGACGCATAGTCTATACGGCCTGCGAGGATACAATGTCCTGCAGTACACCGTGGTGCAAAGACTATCCGCCAGCCACGCAGCATTCGCTGGAAACTTCAACAAGGACTGACATTTCCGTATGCGCTAGAGAGTTCGCAAGGGCTGAGACAGGCCGCTGTGCTACAAATTACGTGGTTCCGATGAAATGCCCTTACACGCTCCCACTGCCGTAGAAAGAAGAAGAAGAAGGAGGTAGCCAGGGGGCAACTGGCAACTGTCATCATCTTTTCCGCAGAGGCAGCTACGATCATGCTCTCCATTTGCATGGGCCTAGAGACCCTGCCGGGCGGTCTGTGGAGTGCTGTGACTCGTCTGTATGGCATAAGCAGTGTCCATGGTGCCCAAGAAGTGATCATGACTTTTTTTTGAAGCCTGGAGACACAATCCGTGTTTGACACGTTCTTGTGCTGATTGAGTACATGATGCAGCATTGAGGTCATGATCTCAGCCATCATCGGGAACATCGGGGCCTTCACTGGCTTCAGTTTGCTCCTGGGCTACCCTATCCCCAAAACCCAAAACCCTATCCCCCAAGCCTAAACCCTAAGCCCTATAACCCCAACCCTTGAACCCTATCCCGGATTCCCCCATGTAACGTAGTGAGAATGAGAACCTCATCACACTATGCGAACCAGGTTGAAGTCGAACGAGAAAGCCTTGAAGAAGGCGGCTTGGGTGTTAAGATTGCTAGGGATCATAGGGTTTAGGGTTTGAGGTTTGGTGTTTGAGGTGTTTTGGTTTAGGGTTTAGGATTCAGGGTTTAGGATTCAGGGTTTAGGATTCAGGGTTTATTAGGGGTTCGGTTGCGTAGCAAAGCAGCCAGCTTTGGCTGCAGGACTCCAAGAGTCCTACTTGAGTCATCAGCTCTGATTCAGCCTTGTGCATGATTTTCCCAGTTCTTCCTGTCCTGAGCTGCCCACTGTCCCAGCTCCGATTCAGCTTATCTTCTCACCACCCGCCTTTTCTGTTTCTTCCTGGGGCTCCTGCAGAACATGTCATGCTTCTGGCCATCAGGTTTCCACCTTTAGCCCCGGACACCAATTTCAGAAAAGCATCAGTTTATTCCATTAGTTCAAAACACGCAGGATTGATTATGTGATTCTACTTTATGTCGGTTGCCAGAATCACCATTTCCACTAACTCAATTCTGAACCTGTGCTGCAGCGTGAGGCCGAAGGCGAAGCAGCCGCGGCCGCTGCGACCAAGTCCTAGATGCGATGCACCTTGGTCCATGATCCAGACCAATGCAGGACAATGCCATGCCCATTTTATCCTGGATTTCTACCAAGCTCGTGGCCCAGTCTTCTGTAGTCTTAGCTGCAGTCCACAGCAAGACGAGGTCGCGCATTCAGCATGGTTGAACCATGGTTGGCAATAGTTTGTGTCGGAAGCTATTGTCAAAGCCAGACATAATCGCAACCGCTCGAGCTCATACCCAGGCTCGACGATTTCCAGGTGGTCTGATTTTCTAGCAAACCCACCAGCAATGGATCCAGCGCCCCCTTGAACCGGTATCGTTCGAGACAAAACTAGGATGGTCGAAGACACAGGGCGTCCCCAATGCTATGTCGCGAGAGTCTATTGAAAGGCATGCTGGTAGTTTTCCGTTTCAACCCAGAATTTGATTTCAGTCCTTGAGAGCATGACACTGCGTTCCTCATCGGGGCAGGTTCTGTAAGTTCACTGTCTTTGTGAGATCGTCTGAGGTCTGACTGCCACATGAAGCGTGCTGCCGTAAGGAAATGTGAATTTGCGTGATTTGGCAGATTGGTTTCACTGGTCACTGGTACATAATGGTACATATCTGTAGACAGCTGGTGCTTTGGGCTGGCACTCATAAAAGGACCTGCGCGTACATGGGTTACTCTCAAGATCATGGGCCTTTTTTGGCTATAAATTATATTTCGGCAGCTCATATTTAGGGGTACCAAACGGCGCCCTAATTATTTTGGGAACTACCCACATGATGCCGAATTGTCCAGCCTGCATGGAAATTGTGCTGCAAGAGCTTGCAAACAGGTCTCCTGACGCTTGGCACCCATACTATTCTGATATTCTGTATTGTGGAATGCCGTAGTAGTTTCCCATGAGGGCAAATCATGACGACCTCACACTAAATCATGGTTTAGGTGGAGTATAGTTTCAAATTGGCTTCATTTCGGGAAGTAAAACAAATTTGCAACAGCAGTTCCTATGATTAGAAAAATGAGGTGCGGTGCTTTGATTGATGCCCTTCGAAGGGCTCACAACTCAAAGCAAAACAGTGATATGGTGGTATTTGACCTTCAGACGTTCTGGAGTTTCGGAGGACAAGGGTCGCCGACTGGATCGCAGGGACTTTGATTTGTCATCAGGTGCGGAGTTTACAGGTCCCAGGTGGATGGTTTCCCAGCTTCGCAAGTAAGAACATCAAAGGCAGAACGCCACAGAACTCTCCAAAGATGGTGGCTAAACTAAAGTAGGTGACATGAAGCTCAACAGGCGATGCGCAGAAGTGATCTTGGTCGTGGGTCAACTTTAAGAGGATGATCGAGCTGTTCCCCTAAACCCTAAACCCACGATTAAGCTGTTCTACTTTGGGAGATACGGCTGCCGCAAGCGGCTCACGACTACCAATCCTGCAGGCCTTTGCTCCGCTGCCAATGTGGGTTCAAACGAAGCGTTCCGCTCTCAATTTTTTTAGAAGCTGGTGGTTTCCTAAAGTTAGGGGTTCCATTTCGGGATATTTCGGGGTTCCCCATGTTAAAGATCATAGTCTATTGGGTCTAGATTTCAGTCCCCCTGTTTGAGGGAAATTACCAAACCCTAAACCCTAATTCTGCTTGCCTGAGACCACTCCATGGGTTTTTGCCGTGTGCTTCATGCTCTTTTCTTCTCCGCAGTGGTCGGCCTCGTGGACAGAGGTCGGCCTTGGGTTCCTGCGGAATGGAGTTGCCGAGGGGCACCCGGAAAGGAGCTGGCAGCCATGCGAAAGCTTAGGGGGGAAGCTGGGTTGCTGTTAACTTAACTTAAGTTAAGGAACTTAGGGTTAATGGTTGAGGGTTACTGTATTAAACCCCTAGAATGTACAATCACATGGAAAAGAACATGGAAAATGAAATGGAAAATGGGGGAATATAGGGATTTAAGGAACTTAGAGTAAGTCACCATCATGGGCATATATATATATACATATATATATGTAGTAATTAATATGGTTTTCCCCAATAGTAACTTCATTTACGCTCCTAAACTGCAACCCAGGAAGTTGGCCACATGATTTTGTCAGACCGCCTTCCAGCATCGATTGTTGATGGTGATGAGCTGTCGGAACTCTATCGGGAATTCATGGATCATGATTCATGTTGGGCTGCACGCTGGACCATGGAGCTTCTAACTGTGGAGCTGTACTTAGGAAGACTTGCAAATCTGAAGGAAGGCGATTGGACTGGAGTGCTTGGAGTTCGTGGAGATGTCCACTATCCATTCGATGTATTCTTTTGGAAGGCCCCGAGCTTGTTTGAGACACTTTTGTGGGGTGACGGACCAGCATGGTCTTCCATAGCGGCTAGCGGCTGGAGCATATTTGCTTTGATTGGGAGGTTGACACGTGCGCTCGGGGCATACATTACAGCTCTTGGCACACCGCCGGGTGACGCTGTGCAAGCCATTTTGCCACTGCTGCCAGCAGAGAGGCAGGCGATTCTATCTGAAGTTCCTGAGCTGCTTTCTACTGCTGCTGGCCCCCTTAATGAGGCCAATTTGTCGGCACCGTGGCCGTACCGCGCTATGGCAGCTGCAGTAGCAGAGGATCTGTTGCGAAGCTGGACTCGCAGGGCTCTGGATGTAGGTCTGAGCCAGTGGCTGGCGGTGGCTTGGCTTCTCATCGACACGGACGCCCAGAAATTCTGGCATCTGCTCGACAGAGTGCTGCTGCCGGACGGAGTTCGTCTCTGCCTCCCACAAGTTGTCAACGCGATCCTACATCCCCCATCAACGTTGGGGTTTGAGGCTTCTGGCTCGTGTGTGGCAGCACACTGCACACACTTCTGGGGCATGGAGGCTGCCATGGCCGCAGGCAAGGCTGGAATTGCTAACAACCACAGTGCCACGGCAGTCGTCCGTCTGGAGCTGCAGCATAACCTCCTCAACAATAAGCTGCGGAACTCTTGCAGCCTCAAATGTCCTCCGCGCTTGGTCACACTTCTGCAGACTGTGTCCGGAATCCTGAAAACCTCGAACAGTGAGCGATTTACTTTCATTGACATTGGGGCAGCGTTGGGCGATTGTCAAGTAGTGGCCTCCTTCTTGCTGCCGGCAGGCCGTTTGCGTGGCATTTCTTTCGAGGCGCATCCTGGAATGGCAGCTCGCGCAAGAGAGACTTACCTCGTCAATGGAATGATGCAGGTGACCATCAACAGCATGGCATTAGGCATTGGGTCCTTTCGCCTGACCGGCAGGAATACAAACGCAGGCTTCATCGTCAATGGAACCTTTGGGCGTCGCATGGTAGTGGACGGCTCCAACCTGGACGCAGAGCTCGAAAGGCTGAAGCATGTGAGATTGGTGGATTTGATGTTAGTTTTCACCAATGGGGGCGAGGCCAAAATCCTCAGGGGTGCCCGGCAGCTGTTGCAGGCACAGCGCGTGGGGTGCGTAATGGTAACAACAGCAAGGAAGGAGTTTCGGCCGCTGTATCGCCTGCTCCACATGACTGGCTATCATGTGGTGAGCATGGATAACCCAAATTATCATGTTGCAAGTCCTGCGTCCGCTCTTGAGCTTTCTGGTGGAACTCCGTGTGATGCACGCTTATTTCGTTGGTGGCTGCAGAGAAAAACGCTTCTTGCACCCAGGTCAATGTTGATCGAAAGCCTTGTGCCACGAATTGTTATGTTTACATTGCAAGAATCCATGCTAGCAGCATTTCAGGTGCTTGCAAACTTCCGGAAGGGGCAGATGCTTTCTTAGATCCTGTACTTCGGCTTTCATCCCATGAAACGGGACCCCCAAAAAGGTCCCCCTAATTTTGGGAAACCTCCAAATTCTAGGACAATGCGGGCGCCATAAGTTGCCTTGACCTGAAGGAGGGTACCATGCCACTAGTAGATGGTGAGCAGCCTGCTTGCAAATCTGACTGGCATTCGCCGCCTGGCTTGGCATTACGATTGATATTTATTATCATGATTGCCAGTACTATTGAACTTGTTACTATTGTCTTTATTGATATGATTACTGATTGTTATACTTGCTATGCCTACTCTATCGTGTCTATGTAATGTTGGTTCCTGATTAGTGTGGGGGTGCTCAATTGTGCGAAGTTTCGCCGAAATTATTCAGCACCCCCAGATTCGTTTGGGGGTGCTGAAGTGTGCGAAGTTGCACGGGCGAAAAATATAATTCTGAGAATAATGAGTAGAAATAGGCTCAGGAGACCGGAAAGCCTCAGATAGTTTCCCTTCACGACCATTTCTTCTTTCCCCATTCGTTGTGCGCTACTTCCAGCACCCAGCTAGTCAACATGGCAGACCAGCGTAGCAGGTCACCCATACCAGGTCTGGAAGCGAGTAAGCCGCAAGGGAGCGACAGCAAATCGCCCGATGGGCAAGTCCAACAGGAGCT